AATACCAGACGTCCAACAACGAGCACGAAGGTACGAGCACGAAGGAACGCGTGAAGGGGGCTGAGGTCTCGCTCGAGCAGCAACTGTGAACTTTGATTCCAAGAGCGCTACCACTGGCACGCATACTATTTTGACAGGCATCAGCAGTCACCTTGCTGCGCTCTCAACAGGAAGAGACTGTGCAAAAAGAGCATTTCTCCATGGAGCGACCATGGAGAATTCTCTTATACCAGGGCATTCTGTAGTTAGGTGATATCAGTTACAAACGAGTTAGCTGCCAGCCTTACTTTGCATAATGTTTCAATTTGTTTTTATTGCATTCAGTGCTTTGCCTTTGCAGTGAAACTGATGTTTTTGTCGATTGATGGAGACGCTGATTGTTCGAATGGTGTTTAGGGTGTGCATGAGAGTACATGCTCTTTATTTGTGGCTGACTGCATGACCCAGTGTCTATGGTGACTTGTTACCATGTTACAGTGGTTTCGCAATCAAGAGGCGGGACAAGCGCTTAAGATGTGCGAGCAGTAGCTGCACCACATCGTGCCAGACGTGTTGTAAGTGGGAAATTATGTTTAGCTTTATAATAGGCATACTGAAGAACGTTGCGTATTGCAATTAAGAGGAATTTACACACTTTTTTGAGAAATCTCACACTTTCACACGGCCGAATTTTCATCACGTACGTGAAGACAGGGCACAGTGCCGATAGCTGCAGCCACTTTGCCGCAGTGGTTTCATTATGGTACGCGGAGTGACTTGTGAACAGAAAAAAAAAATCACTTTTCAACGTGCTTTCGCCAATTCCCTTACAAATATGAGAGACTGTCAATGGCATGATAATCTTTCAACAGTAAAAACACACGCGGCGGCGCACAGACTTTGGTTTGGTAATGACTAGGGGTGTGCGAATATCAAAATTTTCGAATACGAATCGAATACGAATACACAGCTTAGAATACAAATCGAATACGAATACATAGCTTCGAATACGAATCGAATATCAAATAATGAAGAGGGGCAATTTTTTCCACCAGTAATCTTTTACTCAATCATATATTTAGATTGGAAACAGTGCAATCGTTATCATAGTCAGTTATTGCACACAAAAATTTAAAAAAAATGTCACTATCTGTACTTGCCAGAAAGCATAAGAGTAAAAAGTGAGCTTGTGACTGTGATGTTGGGTTCAATTCATATAATGGACAAACCTTTTGTATCTTTTTTTTTGTATGGTAGCACTTTATCACAAAAAAAAAGAAAGAAAAGCTTTTGTACCTGCCTTGATGACTAGTGAGCAGCAGGCCATCGGTTTGATTTTGTAACAGTTAACACTCATGTAATTAAGTCTAAGCAATCATTAGCGCAGTCTAGATGGGCACAATTCACCCAGTTTTAGCTCAAAAGACCCCAATTTTATAGTTTTATTTTTAATTTTGTCCACTGTTCTTATATCTGGTCAAGTCACTAAGGAAATTGTTCTTGGGGTGTTTTTCAAATACATAGCAAAACTCGTTATTTCGCTTGCTTCTGTTGCCTTCTCGAGGACTGCACTCGCCATTTTACGATCAAGAATGCTGTGTTCTTTTCTCTTTTCACCTCCTGTTTCACGAAATGTTTTTTGCGCCTCAGTCATCTGCACTAAGTTAATTTCAAGTTCGAAGTGAATAGCGATTTTGGTCAAATAATATCGTATCGAATTCGAATAGTATATATGACATATAAAGAAAAATGGGCATATTTATCATGACCTAACTAACCTGCACAACATTTTTTTTTTAATTAAATAGAGCCTTCATGCAAATGCCCTTTTTTTCTCGTTCAAAATAAGTCGAATGAACCTTTTGTAGTAGCCGAATTTTACTTTCAGCAGGATGCGAGTCATAACTCTAGAAATACGTAACATTTTAGGATTTATTATACTTGGAGCATATAAGCCGTCAAAGCTAGCTTTTAAGCTTAATAAAATGAATCGATCTAAGAGTAATATTTTCACTTAAAGGGGTCGTGCAACACTTTTTAAAGTAGCCGTGGAATACACTCACTAAAGAACCTTATTTATAGCTTCATGAATTAACCGCCGCAAATATTTTTAAATCCATCAAGTATGGGCGGAGTAGCAAAGATTTCTCGCACGCTGCTAGTGAATTCTATCTTCTCATCCTGACGAAAGCGCTGGAAGCTAAACAGGAAGGGATGGCACGGGAAAAGAAAATACGTCACACATGCTTTCTGAGCTTGTGGAGCCATTTGCTGAGAGAAGAGAGCAATTCTTAGCTTACTGAGAATTTATTGTGAATAGCATGCCACGTGCTACGCTATAATATTTGACTTGCGCGTCCTCGGTAGCTTTGCCTACTGATCGGCAGCGTTTTCTGACAATGCTCAAAAAGTATTGCAGGGCCCCTTTAAATTTGATGGGGGGCTTCGTGGCAGAGCGCATTTTTCCTGAATTAGTGCTTTCACTGTTCAGCACCCCTACACTGCAGTGAAACCATCTTTACAAAAGGTACATTTGGATTATTATGCATTTATTTGTTCCTTGCGAATACTTTGAAATTTTCAATAATTTAAATTTGAACCTTAGCAAATTCGAATACAATAATATTCGTTTGAATATTCGAAGCATTCGAATATTCATATGGTTATTGAATGAAAAATGGAATTACAAATTCAATATTTGCCGAATATTTGAAACTTTTGAATGTTTGCACACCCCAAGTAATGACAAAAAGTGAATTGCCGAAATAAATTGAGTAGTGGGCATCAGCGGCATTAGGGAAAAGCTCTAGTAGTGTTCGTTGTGGCCAAAAATATTTTTGAGCCAGAAATGGTCCGATGCTGCTATCCGATAGTCCGAAACAGGTGGGCTAGCCGACTTGTGCAGTTGGCGGAAGCTTTACTTGAATGTGCGCACAAAGGCACAGCGACATGGCATTGCAGCAAAATGGCATAATTGGACCACAACCGGGGAGGCTGTTTTGAAAGGCTCAAAAATTGCAACCACCTATGTTCATTAACGTGAACCTACATCTAGGTACACACGCCTCAATCGTTTACACTGCTGTTGAAAATGCTTCTGCCGCGACCGAGATTAAATCTTGAAACCTTTGGGTCAGCAGTTTAGCGCCATAACCGCTATACAATTGTAGTGGGTGCAAGACAACAGAGAACTTATATGACAAAGGAATCAGTGCTGTCTGTCGCATAAATCATCAAATAACGAAAGCAACCATCGTTGCCCGTACGACCATCCGATATGTAAGAGTGCCAGCAACTACTGTCTCCATCGCTCAGAGCATGGTTGCAGCATGCGGCCTCGTCATCGTTAAGCTAGGGCCATAACTAGGGCACGTAAGTGCTTCATTAAAGCAATGGCGTTATAGAGCACGCTCAAACAAAAACTTGTCACGGTGAGAATTGAAAGGAAATCACCACTTTTACATCCAGTTTCTTCAGAAATGAACTTTGAACTTTATTTATTCCAACATACCATCCTTTGGGATGCTGAGGGCCGGGGTCGAAAAGCCTCTTCATGGGCTTGACTAGGACCACGACCCCGTACAAAGTGGCAGGGATAGGCGAGTGTACATTATAGTATAAAATAAATCAGACAACACTATGTTGCTCAATTAGAACTGTAAAGGAATGCATAATAGTACTGTAAAGGAATGCATAAACAATTACATATGAACATATATAGACAAATAATGCAAATGAATCAGATCGAAAAATAAACCTTTATGACAATGTACCAACTTTTATTTTGATAATCACATAAAAGATCGATGAGAGTGTACAAATGAAAAAAGAAATACAATGGCATTACACAGGTAGGACAAAAACGCATCTCCAGCATTATGTTCACAGCGTTAGTTGATTCACATGGAACGGCAATAGAAAGCGCAGCATCTCCTTGCCGTAGTTCGAGCGCGTGCATGGAAGAAACCACGTGTGAATATGACGAGTGTTATAAAAAACGGTCCACCGGTTTATACGAGCAAGTGTGCCCAAAAAGTTGACTTTTCAGTCCTGCGTAATAGCGTTTCATAAGACTTGTTTGATAGTAATCTGGTAGGGTTAATAAGTTCACTTCTTCAAAAAGCGGTGACGTGTGACTTCCATACGAAACATCTGCAATGGCGCGAACTTCCCTTTTCTGTGTGACATGTAATTTGTGAATGTTAGTTAATGTTATTGTGCCCTGAACCAGATGACAATAATTTATGTGTGATAAGAACCACAATTTGTAGATGAGACGTTTAACTTTTTTAGGAAGCAGAAAACACACCCTAGACAAGATTCCAGTTATTCTGGATAAACTTGAAGACAGCTTTTCAATGTAGGAATTTTATGACATATGTTCATCAAAGATTACACCTAGACATTTAACACTTGGTACTATCTGAAGTTCCGAGGTGCCAAGCATTAACAGGGCATGCAAAGGTGGTGGTTTATTTCTAGGCCTAAAGTGAACAACTCTCGTTTTTGAAGAGTTTAATTATTTTAAAGAATTATTGCATGTCCAGGACGCTAGCTTTAATAATGGCGTCAAGGAAGTGTTTGGTGCCCAAAATAATTTGTTAAATTGGTTGCGAGGAACACTCACGAATACGAGTATTTGCCAGAGAGTGGAAATTTTTGGTTCAATTAAGAACTTTGTAAAATAAGGTTTTCTTAGATCAACTTTTAACTATATTTAAAATAACTGGGGAAATGCTCTTATGGCCTAAGCGAAAACCAGCTGGTACGACAATCTTTCCGAGGTGAAAGGCGCACGCACTGCAGTTCCACGTGCAGAGCCAACATTTTTTTTCTAACATAACCAAGAATAGCATCCCTGGAAACTCGTCGTGCATCACTTACAGAATATCCCTAGCCAAGACAAACCAGTTACGTCCTTCTGCTCTCTACCATTCCATCACTATTCCCATCTTACCCTGTCGCTGATAGAACACTGGTGATAAGCCATCAGTGAGAACAGAGGAAGCAGCTGTGCTCACTTCTCGATCTTCTTCTTAAGCCGCTCCTTGTCCTTGGAGGCCTGCTTCTTCTTCTTGGGCTTCTTCGTCGGGTCGTACGTACCCTTCAGCTGGAAACGGGCCCGCTCCACACGAATCTCTTTGTCTCGCAGGCGGTACCCATCCAGGATGCGGAGTGCCAGCTCTACAGACTCCACCTGGTAGCAGAGGCATTCAACACAAGAAACCCAGTTAGGTTCAGCAATCTAGACTGAACTCATGCATTGAAAATTTTAATAATAATGATAATTGCTGGGCTTTTCACGTCTCAAAACCACCCTACGATTATGAGAGACTCCGCAGTGAAGGGCTCTAAAGATTTCGACTAACTGGGGTTCTTCGGCATTCACTTAAATTTACGCATACAGGCCTCAAGCATTTTCTCCTCCAATGAAAATGTGGCTGCCGCGGCCGGCATTCGATCCTGCAACCTACGAGTCACCAGCCGAGTACCTTAGCCACTATGTAAGGAAGGTTTGCACTGAAAATTAGTACAGTACAGTGCTCCACTGTTAAAGCAAACATTGAAGAGTGTAGCGGCCGTCCCACGGCTGCAACAACTTTTGTGCAGGCGTAGCACATGCCGCAACTGGTTCTTTATCGCCGCCTGCAACAGTCTGCTGTGGCCCTTCCAAACGCCGCACAGCAAACCGCTCACGTGACGACACAATGAGAGCGATGCGCACAGTCCACAACGTGCTTGCATTAAACTCGCAGCAACTGGTGGCCAGCGGAGGTGCCTTGTGGTTACCACACGCTCCCGTGCTCCCTAGGTACAACAGGTTAAGAAGTGTACTGCCTATAAAGGTACTTAAGAGACATCAAGAACATGAAAAAAATAAGAAAGCAACAAAGTCACACTGAGATGATGTGCTTATTCTGATATACAGTAGACTCTCAATGAACAAAATCTGAAGGGACCAGGAAAATGTGTTTCGTTTCACAGGAGTTCCGATTACTGAGAGATGAGCATGACTTAAGAATTCCAATAAGCAGCCAATCATGCTGAGAAAACTGTTCCATTTAAGCATCAGTTTTGTTTGGGGGGAGATGGCATTGAAAAAAAAAACTTTTTTGTTTGCTGAACTAGAGCAATGAAATTTGGCATGCATACTCGTATGTGCCTTGAATATAGAAATATAGAGTTTCATCATGATACCTTGAGTAGTTACAACATGCTACATGGTTCAACTTATATGGTCTGCTCATGGAGAGCCTAACGCTGTAGAAAACATGCCAGAGAGCTGCAAATGGTGTTGATCTTTACCCAAAAGAAGAAGAATCAAAAGGGTATGAGAATCCCAGAATTTTTATCACTTCTCTTTTTTTATATAGAGATCATCGTGGCAGCCTACACACATTGTCAGAAGCAGTTTCATGTACAAGTCATCTTTTAGCAAAGAAAACTGGACCATAAACAAGAACTTAAAAGATTGTCAGACCCTCAAGAAATGTTTTGAGAATCAGGAAAAAAAACTGCATCAGAATCAATCCAGGCATTCCCGTACTACACTTTCCAGGAGCAATACAGTATGTCAGAAACACACTTGTGAGAAAAAGCCTGTCGAGGTTTTACAAGTCGTTTGCATTTGTTAAAAAGCACCAGCGTTGTAGTCCTTAGTGTCCTTGTGTAGGGGCGACCTTTTGTGTCTCTGCCCTTTCATTTCATGCATGTATAATGATTTTTTTGCCCACTAAGAGTCTTATTCAGCAGCCCTGTGGAGGGTAAGTACCCCAGGTTGCACACCCATTACAGCAGAAATCTTCGTGTAAGCTTGCAGGTTGCCTGCATTGTATACCTTGCAACTGCCTCATGCACAGCTGCTTCTACAGTGAAGAGGGAGGCATGCTGCTGCTTAGAAATTAGCGACCATATCACTGAGTGAAGGCCTTTAGCTGAACTTTGAGTCTTGTTGCCAGTGCAACGAGCCAGCAGTTTCGGACAGGCGTTCGTACACTGGCCGCAATGCATCGACAACTCTGCTGGACAGACTATACAGTAGACTCCCAATAAACGAAACTCACTTAAACGAGAATGCCTCATTAACGGAACTAAACGGGCTTTTATGGCTGGATTTCTGTGTGTTGTGCAGTAAAATTCATCGGTTAATTGAAAGAGAGCTTATTGGTCACCTACAGTCAAACGGCACAAACTCTAAACACAACATAACTCGCTCAGGCCTGTAGCGAGAGAGGAAGACGGGACAGCGGCTAACGTGGTCGTGTCGTTCTCTCGCCACTTTATTATAAAAGGCGATTGCCAAAGCGGAGCGGCGGCGGCTGCCACGTCCGAACCGCCTGGCGCGTGAACTCAATCTCCATAGCTCGCGCCTCGAGCTGTCGCATGAGCTGCACGAGAGGCGCAGCGCGGTGGCTAGAAAAATGACGATGATGATGAATGGCGATGATGATGACGCTACAGATTACTCCCTCCCCCCCAGAAATGAAGCCTGAATGAAAATAAAGAGAGCCTATATACAAGTGAGTTTAGGTTCGCAAAACGAAACGGGGTCCATGAGCAGTCCAGGTCGTCAACGGGAAGGGACAATCGGCAACATGTGGGTCTCTGGCGGGCGACACTGAGAGAAACGCAGCGGGCAAAGATGGAAGCGCCGGGTCGCTGTGGCCATAAATACGAGCGTCCTACGACGACTTGGCGGGATCACTCGAGAGCGCACCCGGTGCTTCGAGAATGCGTGTCTGACAAAGGTACCCACAGGTGGAGCCGTGGGAGGGCGCCGAAAAGGCCGAGCCGGTGATGATGGCGAGATGGTGCTATGCACTGAAGCGGAACCAGGACGACCGAGTACTGAAACATAAAGGATGCGGCGGCGTCTCCAACAGCACACATGGCGCCGACATGGCTGTTGACAAGGAGCAGTGGGCTGGCAGTTCTGGCCCGGACGTAGCTGTCAATGGAACACCGACCTGAGCGTTGCAGTGTGGCTTACATGCCGGCGCGGGTGACCGAGTCCACGGGCGTGGAAACGCCGTGAACGAAATAGCGCACGGAAGTCGCTGCAGGCAGTTAGGTCCACTGAGACCGGTCTGCCGATGTTCCGCGCAAAGGCGGTAGTCGCCTGGGTCATGATGAGGGTCATGTCTGAACTCAAGGTAGATTGTTGCGTTGTGGTGTCACCCTTCCAAGGCTCCGGAGGTTGGCCATGGGATCCGGAAGGCATGGGCTCTACCGGAGACTTGGCTGGCGCACCCGTGCTCGTCGGGGAAGTCTGGTGGATGTCCGCCTGTGTGGTTGCTATGGATTGTGCTGGCTGTTCTGCCAATAGCAAATCTGTCATCTAGTCCTTGGTCATTGTAGCAGCATCTCGGAAGTTCTGTTGTAGCATGTCGCGGGCAACAACTTCAGCTGCGGGAGACGTCAAGGTAGATGGTAGGGGCTGCTTGCAGGATGCGCAGATTGTCATGGTTGATGGAAGATCTTGTTCATTGGATAATGTCGACTGTGGAAGCTCCGGGATCGGGTGCCGAATAATGGGTGAAAATATCTCGTGCCCAGACTCCGAGGCGCGCGGCAAGGTAGCCGTCGTGGAGTCTGGGGTCGCTGAGGTGTCGCGTGCCGTTGATGTCACGGAAATTGTGCATGTGGCAGGCACCTGCGGTGAACCTTTGCACGTGGGCGCCAACGGAACGCAGCTCTCGGTGGTGTAGTCAGTGGAAGTGCGAGCGTCTTCTACCTCGTCGTCGTGGTCAGGTGCAGGATTCAATGTTCCTGTGACTGGATCTGAGGCAGAGGGAGTCGTAGCCGGAGTGGTGAGGTCGTGGTCATTAGAGGGTTGCGTGCCGTTTGGTAGCACACGTTGCGACGCAGTGACAGCCCCAAAGTCGCGAGACCCTGGGAGCGGTCGGTACGTGAGGTCGTAGCAGGTGAGCAGCGCAGTGCAGAGGGCGTCATATGGCTGCGGGCTCGTGATCGATATGGTAGCAAGATGGCGAAACTCGACCGGCAGCGCGTCGAGCAAGACGGCGTGCATAAGCGGCTGGTCCGCGACGCCATTCACAGCGAGAACGGCGTCGAGCCGCATGAGCCATGCCTCGGGTAAGGCCGGGTGGAACGGTGGCACTGGCGGACAGAGTGGCGGAAGCATGGCAGCTGGTAGCTCGCCGAAGGGCGTGTCTTTCAGGTCACCAATGTAGCGAGAGAGGAAGACGGGACAGCGGCTAACGTGGTCGTGTCGTTCTCTTGCCACTTTATTATCAAAGGCGATTGCCGAAGCGGAGCGGCGGCGGCTGCCACGTCCGAACCGCCTGGCGCGTCAACTCAATCTCCACAGCTTGTGCCGCGAGCTGTCGCATGAGCTGCACGAGAAGCGCAGCGCGGTGGCTAGAAAAATGACGATGATGATGAATGGCGATGATGATCACGCTACAGGCCAAAGGTAGTCTCAAAACCATGACAGCACTTTGAGACAAGCCAATCCAGTAGCCATTCTCGCTTGTGGTGGCTGTGGGAGCCGAGTCGGCGAGTCAGCTGTGTGTTAGGCCTATTTGTGCGGCTAAGTGCGGTGGATCACGGTGTTATTTTAGCCTGATGAAAAAGAAGCAGCCGCACCATGCACTCTCGCTTGAAAAAAAAGCTGAAAATTCTTCAGGAGCTTGATTAAAGCGGCCTGCCCAAGACGAAAATGGCAAATAAGTACAACATCCCGAAATTGAAGCTGTCGCAGATCTGGAAAGGCAAAGAAAAGATTGAAGGCGCTGTAAATAACGGGACTTTTACATCTAAACGGATGCAGACGACGCCTTATGAGCAACTAGAAGAAGTTTCTGTGGTTCAAGCATGCACAGATTTACAATTTGCCCATAAGCAGACCAATTCTCGAGAGATCGCCATGCAAACGGGTGTTGAGAACTACGTCCTAGGCGATGGATGGCTCAGCCGCTTCAAACTACGCAATGGCCTGGTCTTCGAACCAACCTGAGGTGAGAGTACTGCAGTCAACAGGGACATTTGCACGGACTGGCAAAAGGGGCGGTTTAAGGAAATTTTGATGAGCTTTGAGCCACGAGACGTCTTCAATGTCGACGAGATGGGTCTTTTTTATGAGGCGCTTCCATCAAAGACTCTCACCTTCAAAGGCAAAGCCTGTAGTGGAGGAAAATGCAGTAAAGATCGCATCACTGTCCCGGTGGGTGCAAA